CCCTCCCTCCCTCCCTCCCTCCCTTTCTTCATTAACAGTAACCTGACACATCCCTATTTACAGGTGTGTACAAACTTAAGACAAGGACGGCAACAACACCGCCCAACAACTAATTCAATTATTACCATTTTCTCAACACTCATTACTTTCTTCTCTTGAGCTCTTACAGCCAGCATCTTCGTCGAGCTCTCAAGAAGCCATCTGTCAATAAAATAAGCCACAAAACACCATAATTAACGCCAAAAAAAACAACATTAAAAGACAAAACTCTCAGCCAAATCTTACCTGAGGACGACACCTTGCGTGACAAGAAATCGGTCACGCAACCACCACGCAGGTGCAAAAAGAAATACATACAAGATGGTGACCGCTTGAGCTGCTGAGAGGCGCTCGTGCTGTTCTCGACGAAGTAGATTAGAAACAACCCAGCGAACAGCTCCTGGGGCACTAGAACGCGAAACATGAAAATTTCATTGCGTATTACCGTGGATTTTTTTAAAGATTTTACCACCGTTTACAGCTTAGTTGGAAAGAGCGTTGGTCTGTTGTGCGGGAGGTTATGGTTCGAGTCCTGGATCGTAAATTTAAGTGTGGGAACGAACGAACGAACGAGACTGCATTCTGTATGCAAGAGTAGACTCAGAAAAAAATGAGTTGTCAGTCTTAAGCAACAGCAATTTAAATTATAGAAATTGTATTAAAATAGCATAGGACCAAGTATCGGGTACTCTGGGCGCTTTTTATTTTTCATTTTTGTAAAGAGCAGGATTTGTGGTTTAACGCGACTCCTATGTTGTTGTTGTTGTGGTTTTTTTTTTGACAAGGAGATTTAGATCTTAAATCTAGTATTAGTTAGAAGGCTCTTGTCAGCTCTGCTGCACAACGTTAACTCTTACCATAGCGCATAATAGTTCTGAACGCACATATATGAATGGATAATTATCGTTTACGTGGTTGCTGGCTAGGCAAGCACCCGCACAGACCTTTTTTGAGGTAGCGACCAGGTACAAATATTTTTAGTTCATCATGCCTTATATGATGATGTTTGCACCACATCTAGACTAGAATGCTTGTCATGTTTATGGAACTCAGGAAAGGCCAACACATTCTAATTGAGTCACTTACTTCTTAAGGCGTGGTAGATCTGTCTCTTTATACAAACTACTGTCTAGTCTCTCAAGACCAAAGGGGTTTGGTGATCCAAAAAGTTCGTAAGCGATTGCACCAGCAGCCCATGCTGAGAAACAAAGCGTCATTAATGTTTAAAATCTCAATATTTTAAAATGATTTTAACGAATAACAGCAGAAATTACAGACTCAAGACAAAAACTCAAAGTAAAAGTGCAAGGTGAATATATTTTTTCTTATTGCGCATCTGCATTTTTACTTCCGTTTCCGGTCTTGAGCCCGCAATTTTGTGTGCTTTGATTGGCTCCACTTGGCACATACACGATACCTTATGAAAATATCTACCATGTACAAACAGTCAAGTAACGTACTTACCATCAGCTTTACTGTAATCAATCACTACACCATTACCAGGCTGTGCAGTAACAACCTGCAAATATAACAGCATGCATGTTTATTTTCCTTTATTTATTCTTCATTTTTTTCCATTGCTTTGTATATCCATCCAATCATTCATTCTCTCCTTACTAATTCATTTCTTCATCCATTTATTCTCTCCGTCCGTCATTCATTTATTCATTCCCTCCTTTCCTCATTCCTTCACTCATCCATCCATCCATCCATTCATCCATCCATCCATCCATTTCCTCCTCCCTCATTAATCCATTTATTCATTCATTCATTTATCATTCATCCATCCATCCATCCATTCGTTCCCTCTAGACAAGACCTAACAAGACAAGACAATTAAGCCAATACTATCACATCCTACTCACCTCTGGTGCCATCAGAGCCAGATTCCCTCCACGATCAGTCTCTTGAGTCACGAATGGAAGCTTCATCCCTAACCTCTTTTCAGCCAAACAGCAATCAAAATCACAGATCAGCAGCCTCGGACAACCCAGGGTAGATATATCTAGCAGCAGATTGTCAGTCTTCAGGTCTCTGTGTGCTATACCAAGACTACAGAGGTGAGATATGCCATTTAAGAGTTGTAAGAGTAGTAGTGTTGATGTTCTTGTATAAAGGGTGTGAGATGCTATATATTCCTCCACAGTACAATCCATCCTTTAAGGTAAAGAAAAAAAAGGCTAGTGCATCAGATGAAACTACTTTAACCAGCCAGTTGATAAGCCAGTTAGATTTGGGATAAAATTGCATGTGCACTGAAAACGATACTTAAACTATGAACTGGCTTGTTTTTCTCTACTCACTGCTACCCCCATTGATTCCCTTAAAAATATTAACATCAGAATGTAAAAGCCATTGTGTTATGACCCACAGATTGTATTGCAAAGTCTATAAAAAGCCGAGGAACTGCATCTTGCACACTAGTGTAAAGAGGGGGGAACAGGGCATGTGACCCCACCCCCTCAAGAGTTTGCTCTTTTCATTAAAATGTCATTAATTCCTGTGGGATTCCTGTGGATTTACTGGAAAAATGGTAATTGCCTCCCTGTAATCAAGACCTCACTATGCCCCTGATCTCGCAGTCATGTCAGAGACGCTTAGTCTCTAATGCACTCTACTGTATGCTTCATATGGCTGCCAAAACAGTAACAAGGTTTATGATAATAAAAATATGTAACGAAATATTCTTTAGAAGGTGAGGTTCTTTACCTTGGCATGACTGTAAACATTGTCCTGTTTCTACCAATGCCAGAAGGATCATGTCTGGATGGGAGGGAAGCAGGATATGATTCCTTCGCATCTGGAAGGCATGGAACTGAATCCAAAAAGCTGTGGAGTACTGGCAGGATGTTGAAGTGTGGGGTCGCTCTGATGTAGCTAGAGTCTTGAAGGGAAGATTGAAACTACATGATTATGATTATAGTGAGAGACCTGTTGAGGTAGATTTATGTGATGATCATGATTATGGTCTTGACCCCTACAATAGTTTCAGTGTTTTGAGGTGATAATGGTGATGGTGATGATGATKATGATGAWGATWKTGAKGATGRTGGTGAKGATGRTGATRATGATGATGRTGAYGATGGTGRTGATGATGATGATGRYRATGATGATGGTGATGATGATGATGGTGATGATGATGATGATAATGATGGTGATGATGATGGTGGTGATGATAGTGATGATGATAGTTATGATGGTGATGATGATGGTGATGATGATGGCGATGATGATGATGGTGATGATAGTTATGATGGTGATGACGATAGTGATAGTGATGATGGTGATAATGATAATGATGATGATAATGATGGTGGCAGTGGTGGTGATGATGTTGATGTATAATGATGATGATGATTAATTTAATGATGATCATGATGATGATCATGACAATATGTTGAGGTGATATAGACAATGATAATGATCATGGTGATTATGATATCAATGATGATGAAGAAAGGACTCTCAAGAATATATCTTGAACTAATGCCTCCACAATAATCATTCCAACAGCACAGATAAAACCAGATCAAAGATATCATTGCAGCAATCATTATGAATTGTCTTGAAATTAAAAAATATATAATCATATACCTTCAGACTGTTCTTCCCCTTCCTTGTTGCAAATGCTAAGCACTTCTTGTTCTTTTGAAAATTTCTAGAATAGGATAAATGAACGAATTAAACCATTCCATTCCAAATCACCCATTCCATTTTACAAAGGAAAGGTTCACCAACCTCCCTACTCATAAACACACACAAACAAAATCATAATTTCTGAAACTTCATATGAGCCATAATTCAGAACTTTTTGTATTGATTCTAAGTTATGAAGGTTTATACTTCTATAACATATATCTACTGTTATAACAATCTCAAATGCCTACCCCTACCTTCCATCTATAATTAATTATAGCTAAATTCGATTTTAGAAAGAAAAATTGCTTTATCCAAATCAAAATGCGCAAAACCATCTTTCGAAAAGAAGTGGTCCCCTTTTTCTAAATTTTTGAGCAAAGATATTTCAAATAGTGTAGATTGATTAAGATAAGTTTCTCTTTTGAGTCTTTACAGTGCAAAAATAATAATATATATTCTTTTTGTTGTTGTTTGTTGTTTTTTTTTTGTTTGTTTGTTTGTTTGTTTGTATTGTCTATTATATACGACAATAATAATTAGAAGAACAATCTAAATTTAATAGAAAATGTCACTTTCTTTTTTTTCCCCTCTCTCTCTATTTTCTTCTTCAAAAACATTCAAATGTCATATAAATAGTAGGGGAGGAGGTCGGTAAAAAAAAGAAAAGAAAAACTAGCTACAGCAATAGAAAAAAAATAATAATAATAATAATAATGAAAAAAATCACCAACATGTATAAGAAATATAAGGAAAAGAGACAGAAAATGTTATGTATAGCTTTATGTGTATATCTGTATATTGTAAAGTAAAACGTCTTTGTTTTAATAAAGTATTTATTATTGAAAAAAAAAAAAAAATCTATAATTAATGCACTTACCCTTGTTAGATCATATGTTTTTGAAGAGCAAAAGTTAAAAAGCATCTTCACAGCAAGCTGAAAATCCAATAAAAAATTTTGTTATCTAAATTTTTTTTGTTAGCCTCTGAAAAGAATCAACTTCTAAATTCCAGATTGATCAGGGAACAATTGAGGGAACAATTTTATGTATTTACATACTTTTTCATTATTTCTGTTAGCTTTGTACACAGCAGAATTGGATGACGGCTTTCCCAGTCTATCTGTAATCTTGTAGTCAGATAACTGCAAGTTCTTGTGATCCTGCTGGCTAGTTATGCTCTTTTCCTTTGATAACAAAAATGAATTCAAATACCTGTCAATTATTTCTTTAAACTCTTTTTATCAGGATTAATATAATGCCTGGTCTGTCACCAATCATGATCACTAGCCAAATTAGCTTTAGCTTGGTACTGTCATACAGTAACTCGTTTCTGGCTGAACAGTACTGGTCAAAGTGATTGGCAAACAAATATTTGACCAGACAAGTTTCAATTCTGGCTGGACTTTGTCCAAAGAAGACCAGTCCTTACTTTAAGCCCTATATTTCATAAATCTGGAGACATTTTGTATGACAACAGTATGCCAATTGCAACAAATTTATAGTAAAAAGTTGACAAGCCAACAAAAGCACACAAGATATTTTGTTAGAATACTTTTTGAGAGCTCCGTAGTCCATGTTGCATCCACTGGTACAGTCTCTGGAAATCTTCTTCTTCTTCTCTGCACTCATTTGTCTTCACATTTAGGTCTATAAACCAAGTATTAAGTATAAGAAAATTAGACATGTTGTAGAAGAAATACATTAGCATCTCGTTTGAAATTAATGCTCATATACTCACCAGCTGAGCAAACAAAACCAAGGAATGCAAATAATGGACCTTGGATTCCCCCCCTTCTCATAAGACGAAATATTGCATTGCCTGGAAAGAAACACTATTATGTTAATTGAAGTAGTATTGAGTATATTGTACTTCTTCATCATTATTAATAAATAAGCATTAAGTATCATCAACATCATCATCATGCAATCATCATCATCAATAATGATAATAATATCATCAAACTCAGCATCATTTCTGATTGGCAGAATGCTTGATAAGTGTCAAGAAGCACTCTGCTACGCGTCGTGCTTCTCCTAACACTTCTCTCGTGTTCTGACAACCCCCGCATGCTTCATAACTGCACACAGCACGCGTGCGCGTTTTCTATTTCTTCATCATCATCAATATTACCATTATTATGATTATCATCATCTTAATCATCAACACCATCATCTTCATTATAACCATTACCATCATCATAATCATCACCAACATCACTGTCATCATCATCATTATCATCATCATCTTCACATCACCACCATTACCATCATTGTTATCACTATCATCAGCATCATCATCATCATCATCATCCTTATCAACAACATCACATTCACCACCACCATATTGATTTTTATCACTTTATTATCATACCATTGGGTTACATTTATCTGGAGAAAAGCAAAAAAAATTGTCATCACAATTTACCCTTAAAAATGGAGCCATAGTTTGTAATCAGACTGGACCTCCCTTGCACAAAGCCCTGATAAGCAGCTCTGGTTAAAGAAGACGTCAGAAAACTTGATCTTGTTGTGTTTGGGGCAGACACCAGTCCACTATGTTGACCATAGTGGGCAACTGCTTTCGTTTGCTGGCTATGTAAAGGTACTTGGTTTGCCTTACTATATGGTACTAAAAGGAAATATAATATTTTTTAAATACTTATTGATAAATATTTCACAGTCATGCACAGATATGAATTTCAAAAACGAAAGCTCCTATCAAAAAATACCTGAGTCATTAAATTTACTGCCATAAAATTTGGAATTTTTTCTTAATATTTATTTTGTTTCTTCGATATTTCTGCTTAAATTAAATACCTACCTTCTCTAAGGACCTCAAACCTCCGAAATACAGAGCGAATTACCACTTTTCCGAGACGAAAAAGCGACATTTTTCTACATGTTGTTGTCACTCAACCAACATCCGCCACTTTCAGGGAAAAAAGCAAAACACAGGAACCCCAAGCATTACAGTATGACGTCACTCCTCGGCCTCGTTTCAAGGAAAAGAAAAGGGTCGACCGGTTGAAAGAACAAAGCTTACTTTCGTTCCAGATGGTATTGGCCTATATTATCCTACTACATCCAATATATATACACTTATTTATCTATATTTATTACAAAGTAATTTACGGTGAGTTTTGAACCTAAGCCAAAATTTAAAAAAATTAAAAAAAATCGACTCCACTTTGCCATACCCCCGAGACATCCGCAGAGCTGGGGCGTCGTATGGACTTCGGACCTGACGGCGATTAAATCCTTCTGCCCTTGGGTGTACGAATTACGCAAGAAAATGTTCTAGCCGAAGCATCAGGGGAGAGACCAGCCGGCCCCCAGACCATATCGGCTAATCCCTTGCATCTCTGCCACGCACGGAATCGGTTGAAAACCTCATGTTAAAAAGTCTAATCTATCCGGTGCATTGTTTTCACCGCTATTGTTGTGCAAATTTCATAGAACCGTGGCCCAGTGGAAAAAACTTGTGTATGCAATATGTACTGAGTCAAGCCCGTCTAAGGAGGGTTAGCACTTGGATGGGTGACATGAAAGTTGTACCTACTCAAGCTTTTGTTTCTATTTTCTATTTTATCCTTTTTTTTTTTTTTTTTTTTTTTTTTTTTTTTTTTAATCAATTTGAAAATTATAGAATGAATATCCAACTTGTGGTTGTAGCATAGTGTAACCGATTGTCCTTCTACTAGGTATTACCTATGTTATCATACCTCTTGAAAGGACAAAGCTTAGTATCACGAATGAATTGTCCTTCTAGATGGTATTAGGGGGGTGTGGGGGGGGTTGTCCCAACCCCCCCCCCCCCCCTTCCCTCGAAATCTCGCGACAAAGGCGTTTGAATATTTAGTCCCATTTAGTGTTTTCACATTTTTCTCGAAAATCAGAAAGCGGCCATTCCGAGTCACGGTTGATGACAATATCGCAAGTCAGGCAAGATTTTTTATAGTTTCCCGGATCCCACGCTATATTTTATCAGTTTCCCGGCTGTCGCGAATACCCTTGCGGACCATATGAGGAAGACAATCAGAAGAACGAGTCACAAATAGAAAAAGAGAAGAAGAAGAAAGCCAGAATATCCGAGAACATTTTTTATTTGTTATTTCATTATATGCTAATTAATTTATATGCAATTTATGGATTTATGAATGGGGAGTGATTCCTTGGCCTAAGGGAAAAGCTGAAATGCACCGTGTAGTTTTTGTTTGCTGAACAATGACTTACTGTAGACTCTTCCACAGTCTCTCGCTCGTCCGTTCCGTCTCCACGCTTAGAGACTGTAACCGTACAATGACCGAAAGGACTTATGGGTCCCGAAAACTTGGACCCAGCGTGCTTTGGGAACCAAAATACTCGTCCACAGTCTCTCTCGTTTTCGCCGCCATCTTGAAAATATTGAAACGAGAGAGACTGTTGACGAGTATTTTGGTTTCCAAAGCACGCTGGGTCCAAGTTTTCGGGACCCATAAGTCCTTTCGGTCATTGTACCGYTACAGTCTCTAAGCGTGGAGACGGAACGGACGAGCGAGAGACTGTGGAAGAGTCTATGACTTACTGCAGCGCTATTCTTCTGTTTTGTGTTTCTACACGATATTCGATTATTTATACACGTTCATGTTTTAACGAGCGATAGCTCCTCCATGATACGTGTTTAAATAAACTATTGCCTATTGTCTATTCTAGGTATAGAGGCCAGTCATTCGTTATCTTATCTACTAGCGAAATATACTATTTAAGAAATAGCTATGCATCCGGAATTTTATTCGTAAAGTCCGACAAACTTTTCGGGTGCAACGCAGGCTACAAATGAGCTACGCTAGGATTATTCCTCAAAAGGATTGTAGTCAGGGTTCCCGCCATTTTCTCCTGTATTATGGGACTCTTCTGGCCGGATGATCGGTTCTTCTACCACTGGGCTAAAATCATAAAGAAAAAAAATGTAGTTTGTAACATGAAGACGCAAAAGAGTGTTAGTACATGAAGAGAGTCTGTCTGTCACGGTTCATGCCGATACATTTTTTTTGCTAATAATCATTCAGTTGATTGATGCCAAGCAATTACAGAATGTACTCTCTGGTTAATAGCACATGACGGGCAGTTTTTGCCTGTCCTTGTAGACTGATAATGACGAGGTTCATGAGGTTCATTCAGTTGATCAATTAACTATGATAGCACATGATGGGGGAAGTGTTTGCCTGTCGTTGTAGGCTGATAATGAGATTCATTCAATTAATACCAAGCAATTACCGTTCATTTCTCTTCAGATGGCTTCTCATGGACCCTGTAATACAGAAATACATAAGGAATCAATTATAAAACTTCAAAACGATTGACGCTTTATTTTTTACTGCACAACTCTACAGTGCACTTACTTTCTTCGAAAGGATTGTAGTCAGGGTTCCCGCCATTTTCTCCTGTCTTCTGAGCCTCCTCTGGAATGATCGGTTCTTCTATCACTGGGCGGCTAAAAGACAAACAAACATACCTTTGAATAGAGTTTAATAGGGACTTTTGGAAGTCTAAATTGATGTCAAACAACTGTTAAAAGTACCGTTCGTTCCTCTTCATATTTCGTCTCATGCTCATCATGGATCCTGCATGTCAAAAAAGGAGTAATTTTTAGGGTTTGTACGTCCAAGATATGCTGAGAACGCGCTCGTACAGTATCGTGGGCCTAAATAATGACTTTTGCTCTTAACCAGCCAATCGAAGAGCACTATAACCAGTATCCAGAGAAAATGAACATATTCTCTTGCCAGCAGTATACAATCCTGAGGTGCAAAAGCACAATCTCACTGAATTTAGTTACCAAAATCCTGCATCTTATCTTACACGTAACTTACTTTCTTCGAAGGGATTGTAGTCGGGGTTCCCGCCATTTTCTCCTGTGTTCTGAGCCCCCTCTGGAATGATCGGTTCTTCTATCACTGGGCTAATAGAATAAAAACATTAAAAAATATGCACCACATTCATATATTAGAGTACGTGTACAAATCGTTTTGTTTACCGTTGATTCTTCTTGGATTGCTGTAGTCGTTTGGTCTTTAAAGATCCTTTCAAAATAAAAGAGTAGTTTGAAAATATATGAAGGGTTTCCATGATGAATATCTATATGGTTAATACATATGTGCTTTGACTGACTTGACTCTGCTGCCTTATGATTCCGGCTTTACTTACTTTCTTCAAATGGATTGTAGTCAGGGTTCCCGCCATTTTCTCCTGTGTTCTGTGCCTCCTCTGGGATGATCGGTTCTTCTATCACTGGGCTAAAGAAGTTTTTCGATTTATGTCATACAAATTAGTTAGTGGAATGTTTTTAAACTGAGTTGTAACTCAGTGATTTAAATCCCGGTCCCAGTGATGAACTCTGGGGTAATCCCATGTTAGTGATTCTATTCTCTAATCCTAGTGACCTAAATCCCGGTCCCAGTGATGAACCCTGGAATAATCCCATGTTAGTGATTCTATTCTCTATTCCTAGTGACCTAAAACCCGGTCCCAGTGATGAACACGGGGGAATCCCATGTCGATGACGATTCCAGTTCCCATTTTCGATTTCCTAATTCCCATATTTAACGTTGATTCTATTTCCCATTTGTCCAATTTCATCAAATCCCAGTCCCAGTGCGCGCACAAAATCCATTAACCATCACAATCCTTGTTTTTATGTGGTTATCACTTCTGATATAGTTTCCAACAAAGGATTCTTTAAACTTACGCATCATTCAATCGGCGAAGAAGTCTTTCCAAGAGCAGTCGTTTGTTAATGGTGGATTCTAGGGACAGCGAGTGAGAAAATGAAATTATATAAGAGAAGAAGGCGTAGCTCAGTTGCCTAGTGCCCGGTCTTTTAAACTAGAGTTCCAACGTTCGACCTTCAGAATCTCCACCACTGTTTCAACTTCTTCGTAATCCGCGTAGCTTCAGCTTTGAATACTATTAAAACAAAGCAGACTGACGAAGAGAGGAGGTAAAGTGCACCACATAGCTGAAGGAGCTATATCTATTTAAATCTAGTTACTTTACCTTACTTTAAAAGACTGATGGATTCTAAACTCTAGTAAGGTCTCTGTGATCTATTCAATTACAAACATAATTTGCTGAAACTTACTGCATTCAACGGTGCTGAGCAAAACCATCGCGACGACACACACTGCAAGTATAAAAGTCTTCATGCTTCTGGCCTGGAACGTAAAACACCTGCAATATATAATTCGTTCGTAACTAACTTACAATTATTACATAATTATTTTGATTAATTTCTAAAAGTTTATTATTGAGGAAATGAGAACTTGAGAAATGGCGTGACAATAACATACGTTTGCTTGAAACTCCAAGATACTTTGATAACCGTTATAGGCGTCCGTCAATATTTATCTAGCGCGTTATGCTCACAAGCTACTTGAAAATCAAACGGAATGTGTCGGAGTGCGCGTCGCCATGCTAATATAAGCATGCCTTATAAAATTGAAGTTACAGTCTAGTGAAGAAAGCTGTGTGAAACACTCCAAATTAACTACGATCTCAAATATATTGTCGAAACACTGAGCGTTGCGTGACGACACTAATAGCGGCTGCGTAGGAGTATACGACAGTGCGCACGGATAAAAATTGCCATAACTCCTTCATGTTAGTTCAGTTAGCAATGTTTGGGGATGGTTCACACTTCAACACAAACATAAACATAAGTATAAGAAATATAGTACTATTGTAATTCTTTATGCTTATGTACGCCCGGTTCACACTTAGGATTTCACAAGCATAAGCATAAAGGGAAAGGTTTCCATTCCTTATGCTAATGCTTATGCCACGTGTTATGCTTTGTGCAATCCCGCTTCAGTGTTTCTCAGGCCTATTGTTTATGCTTATGTTTATGTTAAAGTTTGAACCAGCCCTAAGTCTGATACGTAATTATCAAAGGTAATAATCATTTACATTAATAATTATTCTAAATATCTAAAAGTGCGCCTCGTGGAATAAAGTGGGATGCACTACTGTCGCTCAGAAAAATAAGTTGTTGTCATTTCTCAGTCAGTCTTGTGACTAAAATGGCCTTCTCACTGTGTTCACCAAACATGACTTAGTATATGGTTAAATATGGTAATGTTATTAAATAGATACTAAAATTGCGCCAAAATATCGATCGAAGGTTATTAATCTATCACCCTGTTATCTATTTGATCTCAAAGTGAAAAGGCATGCACTTGGCTGAAGCAGGAACAAAATATTTCGAGCGGGAAGTTTTCCCGAACGGTTGTGTCGAGACCCAAAGTCAAGTGCTCTTGTCATTCAATTCTCTTTAAGCGAATTACTGATTTTTATGCAATTTCTGTGCAATTTATTCACAGAAACAGATCTTATACCAAGCAGGCGGCGGCCACACTGAAAGGATAGCTGAGATAGCTGATTGATTCAAAGCTAGCACCCCGTTTACGAATTACTAGTAATTAGAATGAATTATTTTGAAAACAAAAATTGCAGCACTTCAGGACTTCAATAACGACCTTAAAGCAAGTATCCCGGAAAAATTTTAGAGTATTTTTTTATTTTTTGAGGAAAATTTTACAAAGTCTTATAGCTCTTGTAGCTGGAAATATCTAAGACAGAAAACTGTTTTCAATGCACTAACTGATAATTGGCGGTAATTACATTCTACTGGTAATATTGAAATATTATCATGTCAAAAATTTATTTAAAAAGAAATAACTAAGTTGCCTTTACTTACCAAAACTGTTGAAAGATTTCTTGTACTTTATCGCCGTTTTAGGAAGAATTACTTTTCGTGTCGAGCTGCTCTCGTATCGATGTAGCTTCCGTGAATGGTTTCAACCCAGGGGCGAGGATTAAGTATACTTGATTATTTTAGCGCGCCTTAACGCATGAGCTATTGCAAGCTTCACGCCTGCTTACAGAAAGACGCGATCTGCTCCGATAAACACTTAATTGGAAAATTATAATTATTTTAGCGCCAATCACAGGTTTCCATGAGCATCAAACTCAAAAATCGTTATGAAAAGCAACAATTTTGGTAGGTTTTGAGGTAGATTTTGTCTAGACTAGTACGTTAAATGTCAAAAACATTGCGTTCTAAAGAACTTATCAAAGCGTATGATTACAAGTAGAGTGCATTCAGTCAAACTGTTGAATAGTTGACGTCGCCTAAATTAGATAAGTAAGTTACTATTTTAGCTGACCTCACATAAATTTGAAACTACGAGTAAACAGCTACTGAGATCAGGGGGAGAAACGATGATACAAATGAATGTCTATTCACTCATTCTCTGGTAAAACGAACCCCCGGATTAGTTAGCATGACCGTTTTTTGGCGCGCATTTACTATATTTCAACAGTTTGACTGAATGCACTCTATTGATATTGTCAATAGAACAAACGCTGTCATTGCTTAATTTTCTTTTCTATGTGAATCAGACAGAATCATGACGTCATGTAAGAAATTTTTGAGCTTCGAAAGAAGACAATGTTGTGGGGGGGTGGGGCAGAATATTGAAGACTCGGGAAAATAGGAGGAAAGATCTCTACTTTCTCAAAAATTTCTGCTAGTAAGATTTTGAGAGAGGAAAAGATTGTTATCAAATTATCATATTACATCAATTTTGATAATATTCAAATGTGTTAGCTTTGAAGTTTGCTTCTCTGAATAATTAAACGATTCCAATTTGAAGCACTTTTGAACTTCTTTGCTTAACCATGCATGCTATTCTATTTGGCACGACCTACTATTTTTTAATTAAAAACTCATGAATCAAAATGACTTCAATTAGAATTGCATTGAGCCTTTCTTTGGCCGTTACAATTCAGTGAGCAGTAACACCAGACTAAGAAACAAATTACTTATTTTTATAAATTATTTATAGATTTTGCTTAGGTGTTGTCTCAAATATTAAGTTGAAGAAAATATGAAACATAACTAATGTTAAAACCAAGAAATATTTGGTTTTTATTTACAAAATATTGATTGAAAATAAAGAAACAATTGATTGCTCAAGAAAAGGAATTATATAAGAATATGCCATAAAATAAACTTGATTGATAATGATATACAAAACAAAGTTTTGTTGCTTTAGAATAAGGATAGTATTCTAACCACTGAATGAGTGTAGTAGGTATAACTATTGACTATGGGGGGAGATATAGGTGTGTGAAATCCTTTCTTTTCGCAAACTTGATTCAAAGGCCATAAACAATGCTTTCAAGTTGAATTAGTGACCAGATGAATTGACATATTTACTTTGTTTTGCTTAAGCTATCCTCGACTCGAAACCACTAGTCAGAATGATCTCACAAAACTAACGTGTTTCACGTAAATGAGCTTGAAAGTAGGCTTGCCACAAAAGATTCTGAAAGAAAAAGAAAACCGACTTTGAGAGAGTCTAGCTTGAAAGTAAACCAGCATGCTAATAAGATGTACTCTTGGATACATGCAACGGTTAATATATTTAATTTACAAGTTAAAATCCAAGTTAAAAGACAGTTTATAGAGGCGAAACTGAGAAGCAAAAAGTAAAAGATACAGAGAAATAGCTCACGAAGTGCATAAAGAAATCTGCAGCAAAGCGACATGGATACACTCAAACATGTCAACAATTTACTGACTAACATCAATGGCCAAAGGGACTGTAAAATGGAAATGAAGAATTAATGTTCCCACTGAATGTTTTTGTAAAGTTTTTCGTTATTTGAGTTAATGTAATAATTTTGCCTGTGTAAATGTAGTTTTCCCTTTATTTAACTTATTCACAAAAGCATCCTGAAGCATAAGAAGAGATAACTAGCTAAAAACTAGTGTGAGCTGCATTGGTGTTTCTAATGAAACAGTAATGATAAAAAGGTAAATTATACACCGTGAAAAGATGAAAATACTGAGGTTTTGGACGCTAGTCCTTTGTCGCAGTAAAGATACGCTTCATGTCCATACACAAGTATGTCTCATTAGCATATCATTTTACTCTCAAGCTCATTTGCACGTAAAACATCCATTAGTATTCGGGTGAGTTTAGGAAAGGTTTTTAGAACCATTTCTAAAAAATAAGGGTCCTGTTGAAAGGATGGATGTTGAACAAGTGCTTTTAGTGTGTCAAGTTAATGCAGATTTCACAAGAGGTTTCTAAAATTACAGCAAGACATTAAGATGACTTCACAACATCCAATTAATGCTCGAGGTACTGGTAGTAATAACATGACCAATGCATACCACATCACACTTTTTCACCAAAATATGAAAATTTCTCGACAAAATTCGGCTTTCACTCTTTAGAAGCAACTTTCAACAGGGACCATTCAATGCATTACAGCTTTGGAAATTTAAACTTGATAATTATGGTCAAATCATATCTAAAATTAGCGATTTATTTTTAAGAAATATATTCTATATTCTGAGAGGCATGTATCAAAATTGCTTTGGGATTTTACAAGTTTTAGGATAATTTCTTAAGTGGGTTATTTACACTGTTTTTCTATCAGCAAGAACTCTTACGATACTTCCTAGTCCCCCAGCTGCGAGAGCCTGAAAATAAATTTAAAAATAATTGTTATAAACCTCATGTTCTGATTGGTTGGGGCATGTGCTTTATGAGAGTACTCGGCACATGTGTAAATGTTCTATTTTGTCATTTGTATACAAAATAATGGCTACAAAATAATATACTATATTGAGATTATACTACGTTATACTACAGGCCATACTATACATACTAGATACCATACTATACAACATAGTACAATTCATACTACACGTCATACTACACACCATTACTGCATGCCATACTACACGTCATACTACACGTCATACTACACGTCATACTACACGTCATACTACACGTCATACTACATGTCATACTACACGTCATACTACACGTCATACTACACATCATACTAACCTTTTCATGCCAAGTTAGAAGGATACCGCAGTTGTTGTCACTTGGCTCTGAAAATCCCCGATAAAGATATTTCATGAGGATGTCGATGCCTTTGGTATCCAAACCCTTGATTGCTTGATCTATCTCGTTGGCTTTTGTTGCCGAAAGAACTCTCATAACTAACTGGAAGGCTTTGTCCTGATAAAGAAAAATAAATACAAAAGTGGCTGTTTAAAATTTCTCTGCATTCATCATCGGAAAAATGGCGCACAAAAAAACAGTGACTGCAAAGGTGTGGTATCTAGAGCCTCATTTCTGGTCAATTCCTGAGGGAAGCAGGAAACACACAACATCCCCCTCCCATGTGATGCAGAGTCCAGAGACCCCAGATGTAAGTGCACTACTATGATTCACCATTTAGGCACTACTCATCATGTGGTACAAAAAGTATTGGATTGCGTTACAGTCATCACAAAGTTCATACATTGATCTCAGATTTTGGTATGAATGTACTGGCTTTTAAAAAAATTATTTACTTGATTTATTTAGTTAGCTCCCTAAATACAAGAAAAATACAATTTTTCTAATGTGTAAGCTTTTCTTACTGCTATTTAGCAAACAACAGAGAAACAAGCCAAGTAAGTAATTTGTTAAAACAGCCAGTACAACAGAATTTTTACCTTGGCAGCTTGATTCTTGGTCTGTAGAGGAGGATTTGCTAATACAAGTTTTAAAGCATCACAATTTTTCTTACTAAAACTATGTAAAGGAATTCTAACAAACTTTTTGAATAATAAATTATCAACCATGTCGACAGAAGCTCTTGGCATCACTGAATATGATTTTTCAAAATCAAGGATAGAATTAAAGAGTAGAAGTTATCTAGAGATCAGTCTTACAAAGGCTGTAAAAACAAGGTTTTACGTAAAAATAAGCTTACTTCCTTAGGAATGAACACCGAATAAAGAACAACAAATTCAACAAAACCCTTTTATACTTAGCAGTAAAACCCTCAAGGCTTAAGTTTACTCGAATGATAAGTAATCCTAGCTATCTGATAGCAATAACAGGGTATTTAAGTAGTTTAAAAGTGGTAAGGATACGAAGCAAGAAGAGAGTTCACCTCCCCTTCGTCTGGTCCACCAGAAGAAACATCTTCGCCTTGTTCATCGTCAAACTGGTTTTCAAGAGCGTCAACGTCGACTTTACGGAATTTAGTTGATTCTTTAGCCTTAGACATGCTTTTTTAGGGCTTTTTGATAAGTACGAGGGTAGCAAATAGCGATTTTTGATGAGATTTTTGGACCAAAACTGAAAAGTTTCTGTCGAGCTGAAGGGTTGCTCCTTCCGCTTCCCAGTATCCCTTGCACGATGAGCTATAGGTCACGTGTCTATTAAGGTATGGTGGGATACCTGTGGTATGAAGTTAGCTACCCGACTGGGTATTAATTCGTTTTCGTTTTCTTTCTTCATTTGTTTTCAGTTTCTTAGAGAAGAGAAAGGAAGGAAAAGAAAAAAAGGAAGGAAAGGAAAGGAAAGGAAGGTGAAAAGGAGAAGAAAGGAGAGAAGAGGAGCCAAGAAACTAGAAAATTCTGCTAATAATTCACCAGCGCAAATGTTGCCGCCTTGCAACAACGCCTTTGCAAAAGAATGCCGAATACTGCGGGTCAAAATCGAATAGAAAAGTATCGAATACTGTGGGACAAAATCGAGCAGTCAAAAAATTCATTTTCTCTTGATGCATTGTCTTTGAAGACATGCAGTGAAATGCAGTTTGGAAACTAGAATTTCCGCTTTAGCTCAGCTTTGTATCTGCAGGTTTTGTTCATCTATCAAAATCAGTCAGCTTGTCCTATCCGGATGAGTCGGTTGTGTAACTCCAGGATTGGGATCCCCGTGCATGACATGTGGGGATCATCTATGAAAATACAATGACAGCAAAAACCAACAAATAACATTTCCTCTTTGCAGAATTCTAATTTACTCATTATTACCTTTGAAAACAACGGAAAACGAAAAAAGAATGCAACAATTTCAATGAATTTTTTTGTCTATGATCTAATTATGTCGCGGACCTTTCACTATCTAGATCTGTTCTACGTCAAACTGGTCTTGACATATTTCAAGAGTTAGTGACATATATTCCGGGTTACAGTGACTTGAAAGATCGCAGCAGGGACTAGTATGAATCATTAGCCTTCTGCTATCGGCCGGCACAGGAGCTCGATCCGCATCTCCAAAAATATGGCTTCCTTACTAGAGCATGCTACTCTACTGAGTTTACTTCTGCTGTTCTTGTCCAAGGGGTTTGCAGAGAAGGGTAAGAATTTAATTAAAGAGCTTAAACCTTATCATATTTTCAATTTATGTTGGACATTCTCTACATGTGGCATGGGTGACCTAAGGGCGCCACTAACAAATTCGCTGAAATACATACGAAAGATATCTTTAATTTTTTAAACTACAATTTACTAATACCAAAATCAAGTTGCTCAATCGACTAATTTTTCGACCTAAAATCTCTAAGGCCACGCCACATATCTTGATTATTTTAACGAAGCCGTTATGACCTAGAGCTGTAATATGACTTTTTCCTCTTTGAGTTTTGCCCGTACAGAGTCGTCTTAAAGGAATATTTTCCTGTGTGAACTTTGCAAACAAAATAGATGTATCAATTTCTCTAGGTTAAACTAATTTTCGCGAAAACCCAAAGGGAATAAATGATCTTCAAGCTAGAAAAACCAATTAAGAAATAATTTAAAAACTAACTCAAACTAATTATACTAGAATTTAAGTTACATTAAGACTTAATAAAAATAAAAATCGTGAAACGGTATTAAAAAATTAAGTTTTTGTTTAAGTTTTGTGTTTGGGATATTATGATGCATTTATCGATGTAAAAATATTTAAAGTTGATTTCTTAAGTAAATTTACGTTTCTCACATTATTGCCGCCAAAAAATTAAATTATCGGGGGCGGGAAGGATAGAAACTCGAAACCTGATAACAAACTCTTTTTGGTTTTAGCGCCATTATTCATGTAATTCTATACTGCATTCTTTTCCGGCTATCTTACTCATCTAAAGTCAAGTACAATAAAAGGAAAATAATTCTTTATATCAATTTACAACGGAAATTCAATTTGTACCTCGAAAAAATATAAGTGAAAATTTCATTCTGTTGATGGAGCATACGAAGAGTTTTTTCTCTCGACCACACGGGACTCTTTATCCTGATTTCTGTTGCGAATTTTTTAATTCTTAACTCTGGAGTTTCTTTAGTCTTTGTTTGCCCAGAAATGCGTGAAATTCTTATTCCTAAGACTGAAAGTTTTGTTTTGAAATCTTGTCGCAAATCTATAGCAAATAGATAGTAAAGAGTCAACCAAATTGCCTGGTGTGCAAAACGTCTTTCAATTTTTAGACAGTACTGTAATTCTAGGTTTTATTCGTTAGTGACTAACTATGAAAATATTCTATTCAACCCTTAGTAAGGATTATGCCTGTAATCTTAGAATCTTAGAACAAAGACGGTTGGTGACATTTTGACAGGCTTAGGAATTCCTGTTTCGTTTTCTCGTGCAAAGTTCCTTTGCTGGGCGTGACTAATGGATTGTGCGACATTGAAAATTTTCAATTTTTGATTTGTTTTATTCAGTGTTTCTAGCCGAGGACAGTGAGCTTGAGAATCTGTTAGCATCGTTGGAGGCGGACAGCAACACTAAACGCGAAGGTAGATGTAAAATACGGTAGTTGTATAGAACAGGAATACATGCTGACGCTAGTTGACGTCGATGCTCTAAGCGTAATCCATGCTGATTGATGATGACAAAGTGATGATATAATGATGATAATCATGATGAGTCGTAAGAGGAATGCAGCCAAACATGCAGTTAAACGAGTTGCTGCATCATTAGTGGACTTACTACGGGTTAGACGACTTGTTAAGGGTTAGACGAGTTAGTGCATGATGATGATGATGGTAGTGATGAAGATGATGGTGATGATGATGATGATGGCGATGATGAAAGTGATGGTGATAATAATCATCATGATAATGATGATAATAATGATGGTGATGATGATGATATTCCTGTTCTTTTAATATTGGTCTAATTTAGTACCAAACATACACCCTTTTTTATCGACAGCCATGAATCAAGTTGTCATATGTTCTTCTTTTTGTTCCAGAGACCAACGTTGAAATTCCCGAAAACGTTGAATTTCCTGAAAACCTCATAGATAACGTCGACCACATGAAGGAAGAAAAGAAACGTAAGAACTCAGCCTGCAAAGACTTTTAAAGGCCCATTCAAGTTGGGAGGAGGGGTAGGGGTGCACGAGGAGGGGTGAGGGGTGGGGTGGGGGGTCGGTCGTAGAAAATTGACAGCCCATTACAGACGGGTCATGATAAATTTACTGCCACTCCATGAACCTGTTTGACTAGAAGCATATAACATTCTAGGTATGGGAGGGTTACTAACATGTTTTCTAATTCAATTTATCGCCGAATGGTTTTCATTATTCCCCTCTGTTAACCAAACTTACATGGACGTACTATAGTTTCAGGTCTTGAAGATTTCCCAAACACGATTGCTACAGACGATGCCAGCATGTGTGAGTATCAGTTAACCAGTTTGTTATGCTTCCCCATAGGAGCTCTTCTCTGCCTACGCGTTCCTAAGATACGATGTTGAGCTTTACGCTACCTTGAAATGTTAAAATACTTTAGCCTACAAAAACAGACAGTACTCAACTCACAAGTCGATTTTTACGGAGGGAGGAAAACCAGAGAACCTGGAGAAAACCCTCGTGGCAAGGAGGAGAACAATACATCAAACAAACTCAACTCACATGTAGCTTATTTGTTTTTCTAGCATGCAATGGCGTGGTATCAATTATAAGTATTTCTCATTTTTAAATCAGCTATCGACGCATCGTATGAGCCACTTGGATGCTTCAAAGACCACGGAAGCAGCAACCGTCCTCTTCCAGTCCTTCTAGCAAGCCTACGCTCGCAAATCGACTGGCACAACTTGAACAAAACCATTCGTGCTTGCGCCCTCTTGGCCAAAGCCAGGGGTTACAGAGTTTTTGGCATTCAGTTCTATGGGGAATGTTGGAGTGGGCCAACAGCTGACCAAACGTACAGCAAGGATGGTCGTTCAGATCGATGTGTTGCTGGTCTTGGAAGAACTTGGGCAAATTATGTTTACCGATTTAAACAAGGTGATAATATACAAAATATATTCTTGGGCCAGGTTTTTTCCCCTTCATTCTCGTCCTCGTCGTGTCGTTATTGCTGGGTTTCCATCAGCTGATAAAAAGCTTTGAATCTCATTATGGTAGCAAACATTGACCACCACATGCTGTTAGCCAGGATGACGGATTTATTGCCCTATTTCACTATGACGTCACTGCTTGTTTATGTGGGGGATAGAATCGCCAAATCCAATAAAAAATCCAACAAAATTTGCTCCGAACGAAACAGTTTAATATTAAATGGCCTGGTTTTCAGGTATAATATGTGTTAATGTAAAAAATATTCTGAGCGTTTGCTGGCTATTCTACTTCTCTTCGTGGATTGATACGGGTTTTAGAACAATTTCCGGTGAATTCGAGTTGATTTGACCCCCTCCGACGACCATATAATCCTTTGCGTTTAAAAAATAGATTATTTTGATGTGACGTCATAGTGAAATAGGACAATTGAAAACTTGTGTTTTATCTGATGTGCATTCCGCATGAGACAGGAAATGATGTCATCAGGTTAAATCCATTGCAGGACACTATTTTGTCCTTGCATAATATAATCCGCAATGTTGTTGTCTGTCACGCAAAAGCGCTGCGTTACGCATTCCAATCATTTTTGAAAAATCTGAATCAAAATAATAGAAAAAAAACAACAGAATGATAATTTTTTGGATTCATACGTACAGACGGGTGCTCAAACTACAAAGAGCTAGACTCCGCTCAAAGATCAGAAAACTACGGTCCTAAAGGAGTTTATACTTGTGATCAAAGCCTTTCTAAAGGCTGGTACAGATTCACTGGACAAGCAGGGACCCACATGGCTACTMAATGCCCACAAAAAATGCACTGTGGTACTCATGCTCCTGGTTGGATGACTGGTACTCTGCCAAGCGTGGCCGAGGGAACTGTAAACCGCAAAGTTTGTTTCAATTGGAGGAATGACTGTTGTTATTGGGATTCAAAAGTGTTGGTGAAGAACTGTGGAGGGTACTACGTCTACAGACTACAGAAGCCACCCCACTGTCGGCTGAAATACTGTGGTGGTTCTACTTCCGGTAAGTCAAACGGAAGTCAGTGATGCGCATGGCCATAAGATATCCGGAAATAACACTCTATTAGTTGAACTTGTAAAATTTCAATTAACGTTTCCATTTCCTTAGCCCTAAGTGGTCTTATTTCAAATTGAAAGGAAGGCAATTAGAAATCGTTCTGCGACTCGAATTCGTAGACTTTCCCCGTCCCACAATTCCAATTGGGATGAGCTCGTTACCATTCTTCTATCAGATGTAGAAAAACACAGGCCTCACCAACGATAAATAATCTTCTTTTCTTTATTATTAGCTAAAAGAACTTTCATCAACGATATCCCATACACTACCATGATTGGTTCACCGGAATCAGCAAAAGGTAACCGATTAGTCATCGGATCAGCTTTTCATCTAAACCTCAATATATGACGTAATACGTGGTTCAATAGACCCCTTGCAGCAGGTTGGAATGCAGCTCAAACAATACAGGACAAACAATAGGTTCCAATTCTCAGGAGATTGGAATTCTTTTGTTTTGTCCCCCAGATCAAGCTGCTTTGAGGTCACATGCAAGGGGTCTATATTATACGAAATGTCTATCAGAGATCGCTTAAGCAATAACACCTGTCGTGAATTGGGTTGCTATAGGAGCGTGACAAAGCCTGAATATGAAAATCAACAAAATCTAATAGTGACAGGGTCGTATATTAGCCATTCCAAGGTTGAGGAAAAGACTGGGGCGAGTTGGTATTGTAGTGCATTGTGGGATTGTTTTCTGGACTGCCCAGAATACTCCACCCAGTCTTTCCTTAACCACGGAGTGTCTAATATCCAGGGGGTCCTGGGTTACATGTGACCCTCTATCATGGTATAGAAGAAAGAGTAACTCCTCTTCAAAGCTTAGATACGTCCCACTGCGCAATTTTCCGCTTGATTACTGAGTGGCTATGTTGATTATCTTTGCAGAAATGACCGATGTTTTAGGATACCAGGCGGACATGAGTCCACGAGAGAGCACGGAGAAATCTTTCCAGGAAAGCACGGAAATGGACATGTTTCTTGGCAATGGTAACGATGAAGGTAACCATTATGGACTGCGTAATCAATTTCAAATGGGTGGGAATTCTTTCTGCGCATGCCCGAAGCAGTCAATTGTGGAAACATACTCGTACCCAGAGCCCGTTGAGGGAGACTAACAATAAAAAAAAGGTTTTGATTTTACAAAAAGGTATCTGTATTCTGATATGAAGCCAAAACTATTTGGTAAATGATAATAAAATAAGATTTTGCTTCGTACCCCAAGTTTACGTGTAAGTGTACAATGCGATTTGTTTTCAAAACACATTCCAAATGGAAAGAAGTGTATACATGGATGCTAACTCGTATTGGGTTTTTCTGGCCATAGTAAGGGGTTAATCATCTACGGTCTAGGGGACGGCTAACCTCTCCCTGATCAGTCTGTACGTAAGTCATTGGAATGCCGTGTCGGAGCCGAAATCTCCGTCATAGCCGTACATGCTTGGCCTTCCATACGAAGCTTCAGCACTGCGTCTGGAAGGAGTAAATAGAAATAATATCGATTGTTCTACATTTCCCAACCACTGATGCGCATCGCATTTTTGATCAACTTCTTCTCCTAAATTGTTTCCATTGCCGCTCTTGTTTCAGTTCTCGATGAGTACGAGCAAGTTGGCTGCTACCTCGATCGAGGAGGCAACAGCCGTCCCTTGCCGATTCTTATCGCTAATCTACGTCCCAACATCGAATGGAGGTACCTGAACAAAACTATCCGTGCCTGTGCAAGTATCGCTCAAGCAAAGGGCTACCGCTATTTTGGAATCCAGTTCTATGGCGAGTGCTGGAGCGGACCAAATGCTGACCAGACCTACGACAAACATGGCGCTTCGTCAGATGGTTGTGTGAGAGGAGTTGGGAAAGCCGGCTCCAATTTTGTTTATCGATTTCATGAAGGTATTTTTAGCAACTCAGTTCTTTATCGCGGTCGAACCACGTAGCCCTATTCATTGTCCACACATTATGTATTATAATTAAGTACATCTCAGTCCAGAGAAAAGAATAATATTCAAGGGAATGACTTTGCGTCAAAATGAGAAAGATTCCCACTCTAGCGGTAATTTTTAAGCCTCTTTACGCAAGCAGTTCTCAGAAGATTTACTATTTATGATAACGTACGTTTTATCAATTGTATTTACTAATCATTGATTGGCTGATTTTTAAACACAGAGGAGAAAACGACAGTTTCCCCTACAACCACAGGGAACCCATTACCAGGTATGTACAGAACCTCAAGTACTGTGTTAATTTTACTGTTCGATACCTCAGGGAAACAACCTCTGGGCTGATCTAAGTCAGG